CCGAGGATCCCCGAGCCGGACGCAGGGCTCCAGGGGGGTCTCCCCAGAGCAGGGCAGAGGGGCAGAATCCCCTCCCTCGCCCCGCTGCCCACGCTGCGGGGGATGCAGCCCAGGAGACGCTTGGCTTGCTGGGCTGCCAGAGCACGCTGCCGGCTCATGGCCAGCTTTTCATCTACCAACATAGGCAATTTGCTGAAGCCATGCAAGGAGTCCGTGGCAGAGAAGCCCGTGACTTTTGGCTCTCCCCTCTTGCTCAGTAGATCAGGCAGTCTGTGCTTCTCATTGAGTTTGTGGAGGAGGAAGCCAGCAGCACCAGATGCCAGAGCCCAGCGGAGAGATTTCATCTCCCAGCAGTACCTGCAAAAAAAAAAAAATACGTGGAGTGGGAAAGAGACCGGGAACCTGAGCTCAGGGTAGGAGATCTTGAGTGAAAACCCAGAGAGATCTTGAGCCAAACCGAATGAGGCCCCTCGCCCTTTGCAGAGTGTTATTTCGTGTGCCCGTGGCCACCGGCAGTAGCAAACGGCCAACAGCACTAGCGCGCGGGGTGGGCGGTGGTTTCTGCGGGCAGCGTTTGGAACACGCATTTCTTTATTATGTTTGTCATTGGATTTAGGAAAAAAGACTACGTGATCGAAAGACTGAGACAGAAGAAAGTTTACTGAAGCGTTTGACTGCAGCCCGCGTAGATTTGGAACTTAGTAAGTCCAGGGGCCTTGAGTGATGTGTGCAGGGAGGGGGGGTGCGTTGGTGATTCAGGAGCTGCTTTTTTGCATGAACGCCTGACGTGTGTTCTCCAGGCGGGGCTGGCAGGGCTTGGCCATCAGCTGAGTTTCATCTAAGCACCGTACTGCATCGTTTCGCACCGCAGTTCCTTGTGGGCGCCTGGCAGAGAAGCGCATTATCAGTGGCTGAAATGATAATATTCAAATGCCACAGGAACTCGGGTCATGCACGAGAGATGCCACAGGGAGGGAACACGTTCTCCTCTAACTCTGTCCTCACCTCCTTCCCTAGGTAAAGAGCCTGGCCTGTTTGACTTGGTCATTATTAACGATGATTTAGAAAAAGCCTATTCTGAATTGAAGGAGATACTCCTGGAGGTGAGTCGTTTGGGGCTTTTTCTGCCTCGCTCCCCAGGCAGGCGTGACGTCTGGGCTGAGCAGGGGAGGGTCTGTCTGTAGGCAGCCACAGAATTGTGACCACATGCCCACGCTTGATCTATTTTGAGCTGCTGAGTGACGTAGTTGAGCACAGGTCACGTACGAGCGATGATGGATCAGTGGCCTAAGAGCGGGAAACGGATCCAGCGCGATACTGGGCAAAATAAACACACATCCCTGGACAGTGGGGAAGGGGATCAAACCTTCCAAACCTCGCCTTGTCCCTAAAGGCTCGTGCGTAAACCCTGGCCTTGGTGCTGTGATGCTGTGGAGCTGGTCTGAGGAGATGATGGCTCATGGTCTCCAGAGCTGTGAAACTATGAGGTGTTCCCACAGAGCGGCAGACGCTCAGTTGTTTTCCTGATCTCCTTGCAGGAAATCAAGAAGACCCAAGAATCCAGGAAGTCCTGAGCTGAGCTTGCTTGGACGTTTTAACTTTGCACATCATTCCCGAAGCACGTCACGCCATTTTATTCCGAGAGACATTCCCTTTAGGCTGATCCTCCTCCCAAGTTACTCTAGGATGTTTCTATTAAAAGGAAAGAAAACGAAACCCGGTCACGCTTGTGTTTGTTCGCCACACGCTCGGCGTGGGCTCTCCCAGGTTGGTACCGCAGGCGGATGCTTCAGGAGCGACTGCGCGGCATCGGCTGGGCGGCGGCGGGAGGCGGCGTCCCGGGCGCGGTGGAGAGGAGCTGCCTGGGCAGCTGCGGCGCCGGCCCACGCCTCGCGATCCCGCTGCGATATTTGTGGAGGTACGCGTTGCGCCCAGCTGGTGCCACTCGCAGAAGGGAGCGACGTCGATTTGACGCCTGCTTCCACCTGCAGACAGAGGGGTTCCCATCTTTACTGGCACCTGATTGCCACAAGCGTTGGCATCCTCCTGCTCCCTCTGGTTCCTGCTTCCTTTTGCAGAGCCGGCTACAGCTCCTCCGGGCGTTTCCCGCCATCTGTGCCTGCCGCCCTCAGCCTCTGCGGTGTCTTGTTGTGTCGCTGGGGCAGAGCAGCGCGTCAGCACGGCTCAGCTGCTCTCACCGCAGTCCTTGAACAGGCGGCTTTGTTTAATAAGCCAAGAGAAGGGACCGGCTGCAGGATGTGATCTATCCGCGCTCCTTTTTTCTGGCGGAAAAGTACTGTGAGCTTCTCCGCCCCTCTGCCACCCTGGCAGCGATCTCGTAATTCACATCCACTTGTCGTTCCACTTGAGTTAGGCGCAGGTAGATTTTTAGACGCTCTTATACCTACAGGTTGGAGAAGAAATTTCTTTTCCAAGCTGTGCAGCCTTTTTGGATGACGTGCTTGAGGGCAGCAATAAATCCCTTCTCCTAGGAGGGATCCATTTGATCCAGCCACTGTCCCTCGTGCTGGTCTCTGGCTTGAGACGTGGAGAGCTTTGCCCGACTCGGGCTGGGAAGATGCTTTGCGCTTCATCTCCCCAGCTTTGTTCAGCCTTAACGTCTCGCAGGGTCGCTTGGCCCAGAGCCTCTTGTCCCGGAGGACGCAGGCGGTTTGCGTTTGTGCCTCGAGAAACAGTGAGTCCCGCAGAGCTGCCACCCCACGGGTGGTGGCTTCCAGCCGTCTCCCCCCAAACCCAACCCAGAGCGCGAACGGCTGTACCGTGCGATACCACGCTGTGGTATTTCCTCACCAAAACCACGTCTTCCCGGGGGATGGTTGTACCTTAAACTCAACTCTTGGGTTTCATCCTCTTCATATCCCATCTCTCCAGTTTACCCAGTTGCTCTGCTCCAGCACGCCTCTCAGTCCAGCTCCGTTCCAGCCTCAATGATTCTATGATCCTAATTTACCAAGCTCCATCCTCCACGTTGCGGACACCAATACGCAGAACCAGACCTTGGGCAATCCTTTCAGTACCTCGCTTGCATTTCAAAAGATGAAATTTGATGATTATTTTGATCATTTGCCTCTGTTTGGGTGTTTTAAATATATCTTACAGATTATACTGTGAAATCCTCCTTTCTGTTGTCACGAGCTTCATGTTGCGAGGTTCTAGCTTTGGTTAAACGAGCAGGAAAAAATGCTCCCCAGAAATTTTCTGGGCGTGTACCTGCTTCACAGCACCTGGCTTTCCCCATCCTGACGGTCTGAATCGCTGTGGCCAGGCTCATCCTGCAGTGGCGAGTGATGGACTGTTATATATTTTTTTTTTTTTTTTTTTTTTTCCCCCTGAATCGTGGGGTTGTATGTTTTGAGGGACGCGTTTGCAATGGGGAAACGTCCCCTCTAGATGGCAGAAATGACAGCAGGAAAGCGCGGGGGGCCCGCGCTGCGGAGCGGCAGAACGCCGAGCTGCAGGACACAGCGCTGGCCTCAGTCCGGTGGTCGCCGGCCACCGCGTGGGACCGGCGGTGCTGTCGCCAGATGGAAATGCCCGGGCGCTGCCTGCTCAGCCCTCCCGCCAACGCCCCGAGAGCTGTGCGGCTGCCAGCCCTGAGCCCACCCTTCGGGTCTCCCGCTGGGAGAGGTGAGTGACACCCGGCAACGGGAAGGGACGATGCTTCAGCCAGCGCTTGGAAAATGGGGGGAAAAAAAGTCATTTCGATGACTTGCGTCCCCTTTCCCTGGTGGTAACGGAGAGGGAAGTCCTAAATAACCCGCCCTTTATCGGGTGACCTGCTTTTAGCGGCTGCCGCTGCGTCTGACGGACCGAAGCGGTGAACGCCTGGATGCCTGGCGCTAATGCGAGGTGACGGGGTGGCCGTCGGGACGGCGATGGGTGGCGGAGGGACCGGGAGCGGGTTGCCGGAGCCGGGGCTGGTCGCTGAGCGGGTGATGTGGCTGTTGAGCAGCTCTCGCCAGTCGTTTTTGGCAGCTGTGCCCCTCTCCGTGTTTGGCGTTTTGGAGGGGCCAAGCCGCACATCGAATCTTGTAATGGGATGGGCAGAGGCACCTGTTGAAATGGGTTTAATTTCTGCCTCCTCAAAATGGGACATCTATTTTATTAATTGCATTTGCAAACATAAATACCTTTCCCGATCCGTATTTTCGGTACTGGCTGGCTGGGAACGCAGCCACCCCAGCGTCCCTGGGGCAGGCAAGGACCGTGCTGTGGTGGCCACCGAATCCAGGGTCCTCCACAACTGCAAACGACGGCTCCCGGCGCTCGATGTGGGACTGGGGATGGGATTGGGGGATCCGACTGTGGCAGAGTGAGGGGACAGGGGTCTCCCTGCCCAGGGCTTTTCTGGGATTAAAGATGCTGGTCCTGGCCGGGACCCAATTTCCCACCTACGAGATCTTCCAGGCAGGAAGGTGCTGACCGTACCAACCAACAGATTTGGGGCGTTTTGGGGTGAAGGTGGGCGAGGTGAAGGACAAGAGGAAGCTAACGCTGTCAATTCTGGTTTTAGTTAGCTCTCCCAACAGCCGTTAAAAACCTCGTCACCTGGCTGCGGGGGACCACGGGGATGAATTTCTCCCCCCGAGTGTGGCTGTGACTCCTGCTGCTCTATCTTGGGGTACCCCCAAGTGAAAGAACGGGCAGAAATGTCACAAAAAGGGGTTTTATATATATATATTTTTTTTTTTCTTCCTTCACTGGTCCATCAGACTGGGATAACATTGAACAGATTTCAGCTTTTTTCAGCTCTGTGAGATGCTTTGGGAAGTGCGGCAGCTCCTCATCCTGCATCCCTGCAGGAGGAGGATGCTGGGGGAGGGAGGAAGGCTAATCCCCGTGAGAAGGGTGCGTGGGGCAATGCGAGAAGCCACGCTGGGGAAGAGCTGGGGCAAAACTTGCCTCGGGGGCTCTCCCTGGCTGGGGCTGAGGATATTTTGGAGCCAATGCCCAAAAAATAAATCCCCATAGCACTCTTGCTTCAGAGCAAGAGCTTTGCAGTCTTGCTCTTGTGGTTTTTGCTGAATCCGGGCTGACACGCCGCTTTTGGGGCAGGAGCTGATCGCTCTTCCCACCCTCCTGTTCACTCAAGGTCTTTGGCAATGGAAGGAACCCCTTCAAGAGGTGAACGTGGGGTTGGTGGCTTTAGCGGCAAAGGTGACCTCTGCTCCGACCCGGCGGCACCGAGTTGCTGCCTGGGAAGGACGTCATGCACGAGGGCAGGCAGTCCCCGAAGCCAGTGCCCAAATCATCCTGGGGGAAGCCCAGAGAGGCTGGAGCCACGCTCCAGGATAGCTTCAAACAACCAAAATTAGCCCAAAGCCCATCTGCCTGTGGCTCCTTCCAGCATCGCACCACCACCCCCACATGGTCCAGAGACTTTTCCTTGCCGTGGCTTTTCTTGGCATCTCAGTGCTTTTGGAAGCAGCCCTGATTTTCCAAGCTTCCGTGTGATTGCAAAAGGGCACCGCAGGGCAGAGCCAGCCTGGGAAATAATTGGGTGGCTGGCGTATAAAATAAGCAACAAGGAAAAAAAAAAGAAGTAGGAATAACCGTGGTCGTCTTGCTTGCCCGGCTGTGTCTGTGTGCGTGCTGCCTATCGCGAGCACTGGGATTTCGCATCCCAGGTGTGATGGGATGTGCTCACGTCGGTGCACGGGGACGGCGTGTGGTGGGGAGGGCTGTGGCTGCAGCGACCTGTGTGCCGTCAGGAGTCGTTATTGGGGGAGAAAAACCTTACTGCAAGCCAGCCTGGGCTCCTTGCACGCATTTAGGACCTTCCAGAGGGGCCATGCAGCCCGTCAGTGGAGTTAGCGCTGCCTGGCCCAAGCACGGCTGAGGGCTCTGAGGCCACCAGTTACCAGCTTTTCTGGCAAAAAAAACCCTTCTTCTTTTTTTTTCCTGCTATATCGAGTGCCTGCATTTCCATCGGTATGCACCAAACCTCTTCTAGGAAATCCTTTGGCAGCCTGCATGGCCTCAAAGAGGACCGCAGGGGGTTCAGGTTGTCATCCCTCTCCCTGGGGTCACCCCACCACAGCGGAGCCACGGGGTGAGAGCTGCCGGCGCTCCCCAACCCGCCGCCGTGCAAAATCCTCCGGCGTCTCGCCAGCCACGCAAAGCCGGCTGACTTTGCCCTGGAGTGGAGGAGGAGCACGTCCACGGGAGCAGGAGGGCGGTGGGCTGGGGGTGGCTTTCCCCGGCCGAGGAATCCAGCTGTGCTGGATTGTGTTTGTTTTTTTTTTTTTTAGGGGGCTGCAGCTGAGATTGGTCTTATGCCGGGGTGGTGTGGTCCCTGCCTGGCGATGCTGATGTCCTTTTTGTGCTCTCCCGCAGGACGGCGAGGTGACCACCGCATGCCGGCTGCCGCTGCCTTGCGCTGAGACACCCACCAACACCAGGTAGGTCCCATAAAACCACAACAGCTCATAACCCTCGCTGGGGCTAATCGACCCCGGTGGCACCCGACCCGTGCCAGCACCCCTCGGCCAAGACATTGCTCCTTCGGGGCTCATTTTTCCTGACTGTGCTGCTGCTGGAAAGCAAGTCGCGGGGGAGGACTGAGTTTTCTCTCTAGCACAGGGTATTGGGGAGCATCCCGTCGGTTTGTGATGCTCCAGGGTGCTTGCAGGAGTCATGCCATCTCCAGCTCCATTGGCTCCACGAGGATAAGAGCTGGACCGGGAGCT